TACTGTAGAAATCCCCTTCCTGGTTGGAAAGTCACCAGGTCTCTGTTCAGTACAGACACTTTCCAAATCAGTGTCCATGCCTTCCTCAATACCTCCGACATACACAGGCCTTCTTTGACTCTAAATGCTAAAATGATCCCTCTGCCCTCCAGCGCAACTGTCTAGTCCCAGATACATTCTGTATAGTTGTCCTGTGACATACATTATTTGAAATTAGTATATTTTATGTTTTCCTTGCTTTCAATGCAATTTGGATAATGAATTACTTGAACTTTAGTATTTTACATGGCCACACAACTCTCCACATTCCTAACCCAAGACTGCCAATGTGTGTACAGAACGTGTCTCTCAATGTACCCATCATTTACTGTCACTTTTTGCCAATAGTTATCAACCATGTAGTTTATATGCATCAGGGCTGGTTATTTTAGATTTATAAAATATTTTATGTCCATAAAAAATACAAAAACATTTTCTTATAAGTATTCTATTGACTCTGGGGATATTAAGTAGAAAGCACGTGATGACTAACGTTGCAAACATAAACAGGATAATTACCTTAAGAAATTTCTTTTAAATCCTCATCAAGCTTAATCTTTGCTATACCTTTTCCACAAGGGATTCAAGAAAAGTATGGACACAGACTTTTTAAAATTCTGGGCATGAAGGAGTGTTTGAGCCATACCTGGCAGTACTCAGGGACTATACCTGGCTCTGTGCTGAGACTGACCCCTGGTGGTGTTCGGGGGACTGTGCATGGTATCAGGGATTTGAACCTCCCTCACAGTCAAAGCAAAGAGCTGTACTTCCTCTTCAGCCACTACATCCTGTGCTTCCTCTCCAGCCCCTGTACACAGATTTTTAACAATTATCCTCCTTTCTAACATAGAAAGATTGCACTCATCTGGGGAATATAAAGTAACAGAATGGGAGATGAATACCCAAGAATAGTTGAGATAAGCACCAGGAGGTCTGCTCCATGGCTTGGAAGCCAGCAACACATGCTGGGGGAAAACGAAGTTCAGATAGAGAAGGAAACACCAAGTCAAGGGTGTTTGGAGGAACTTGCTCAGGATGCGAGACGTGTGCTGAAAGTAGACTAGAGACCGAACACGATGGCCACTCAATACCTCTATTGCAAACCACAACACCCTAAAGGAAAGAGAGAGCAAAAGGAAATGCCCTGCCAGAGAGGTGGGGTGGGGTGGGCAGGGTGGGGGTGGGAGGACTACTGGGTTCATTGGTGGTGGAGAATGGGCACTGGTGGAAGGATGGATCATTGTATAGCTGAAACCCAAACACGATAGTCTGTAAGCCTAAAAAATAAAAAAAAAAATTTAAAAATTAAATATATACAGGATATATAAATAAAATCCTCTTTTCTAAATAACAGCTTTACTGAAACAATTCTAAATTTATTAATCCATAGAAAAAAGCTTTATTTTCTTGGATGTTCGATTCTTTGTGAAATAAAAGGTATCAAAACAGGCAAAGAAAAAAATGCTAACTTGCAAGTGTGAGGGTCAATTACACAACATAATTGTGGTGAGTCATTAGAAATAAGGTTTATAATGGAATGAGATTCCATGTTTATTGCACACTTATTTTGTGCTACCAAGACATTTTTTAACCAATTAGCTTGTTCAAATTACTAAGCATCTCCTAATTCATTTATTTTAATAAAGAGATAGCAGGACTTCAGCAAGACATAATGCTATTATAATGACATACGTGTAAGACAGAACCAAAACCTATTGAAATTATTTATACAAAGCATTAGGACACCTAGAAATTTTTGCTGTTCCTCCAATTTTAAAAGTTAGTTGAATTCTTAATTCATTTTCAACTTTAGTGAGAAACAGAGAAATAAAATATTAAAAATTTAATTGCAATAATAGGTGGAAAAGAGCCCCTGTACCTTACTTAATATTTTCTATGTTTTTGTTTCAATTTTTTCTGACAAATACGTTGTTCTTAAATGACAAGAAAGCTTAAGAAACTCCCATTCTGTCACTATTAACTAAGAAAGCTATTTCTATAACTATCTTGAAGAATTTGTGGAAATAAAAAGTACTCAGGTTAAAAAAAGCAGTAAGATAAATAAAATATATGCAGTAAGGCCTCCATGGAAAGGCTGAAGCGATAGCACAGCGGGTAGGGCATTTGCCTTGCACACAGCCGACTCAAGTTTGATTCCTAGCATCCCATATGGTCCCCTGAGCACCACCAGGAGTAATTCTTGAGTGCAGAGCCAGGAGTAACCCCTGTGCATCGCCGGGTGTGACCCAAAAGGCAAAAAAAAAAAAAAAGGCCTCCGTGGGTTTGGCTGTAGTGGCTTTCAAAGAGTTGACTTAAAAAAGATTCTTCAGTGATAAAACAAAAGGAAGGAATGGACAGGACACAGTGAAACAGGCCTTTGGACCAGAATTTAGATTACCAAGGGGAGAGGAGGTCTGTGGTAGAGAGGATGGGCCAGGCTGGAAATGGGGCATATAGACACGTGGACAGTGGTGATGGTCTGGAGTACTTTGGAAGTGATGATGGGGCAATAAATTTGTGTGCCAAAGTCTCACGGTCACGGTCCCCCCGTTGTTCATCGATTTGCTCGAGCAGGCCCAGTAACGTCTCCATCATGAGACTTGTTGTTACTGTGTTTGGCGTATCGAATACGTCACGGGGAGCTTGCCAGGCTCTGCCGTGCCGGCGAGACTCTCAGTAGCTTGCCGGGCTCTCCGAGAGAGAGGGGCGGAGGAATCGAACTCGGGTTGGCCATGTTGGCTGCTTGTAAGGCAAACGCCCTACTGCTGTGCTATCGCTCCAGCCCATGTGCCAAAGTAATAAACATTTACACTACTTAAAAAATTATCATAAGTAATCCTTCTTAGGTATTTACCTCTTGGATCTATGACTCAAAATTCAGAATATATGATGATAGAATTGCTTTCAAGTGGACACGGGTTTAACAGCTAACAGTATAGTTTGACCTATACACAGGACAGATAACACTAATTAATTGAATATACGCAGGTATTTGGCCTGAGAATGCTGTCTCTTGAAAGCTGGCCACCGAGCTGCCCTAATGGTTCTATCTTCTGCTTCTGTTAGACTCCCAAGCTCTTCAGGAAGTAAATAAGAAGGTTTTAATCTAGCTTTGAAAAATACTAGCTCACTAACAAACTTGCTTTTTTCAGGACTTCAGAAAAGGGAAAATTTTTTCTCTTAAAGATAAAATATGGGTAACTGGAGACTCAGGCAACAAGCTATACTTAGAGTAATTCATTAAAGTACTTAATAGAAAATGTGTTTTTCCTCAGCTCCATTTCTGGAAATAGGTTCTTTATGTATCTGAACCTAACACTACAAGAGAATTGCTCTCTGTGTGTTACGGTATTTATTCATAAGAACATGAGTATATAAGTCTGTGTAAAACTTTATTAGCATAATCACATAAGTTTCCTAAATTTTCACATTTGTATTTCAGAATATCTGAGAAAATTAAAAGTTCTATATGGTTCTGGTCTTTAATCACCATTCGGCTACATCTGTAATAAAAGATAAAATGTTTTTTTTAAAAAATTAATTCAGGATTCTGACCACACTGAATGCTGATGAGGATATGAAGCAACAGGAACGCAAACATGTTAGTTTGTAAGAGTGATTGACAATTCTAATAAAATTAAATGTACTCTAGGCATATGTTCCAGCAAATAAGGCCCTTGATTATTTAGCTAAAGGTGTTGAAAATATACACCTATGCAAAAAAAACTTCTACATAGACATGTATAGTGACTTTATATAACATTTCTGAAACCTGGGAGAAAGCAAAGATGTCGTATTGAAGCTCATTTCCTAATGGCATTTTGCAGCTGTAATATCCAATTCAAACCCAAAGCAGGTAGCACTCACAATTTAAGTAGTAAACCAGCCTCAGAGTACACATTTTTAATTTATTCTTGGCTAAAGTTAGAAATTTCTACATCTGACAGATCTTTGGAGCTGCTTAGGCAAGCCAAAACTTTGAATTACAGTTAAATTCTCAAATGCCAAGGATCTGTCCACTAAATCAATACAGAGGAGTCGGGTGGAAGAGAGAGGGGGCAGAAACCCGACAAATGCAATACAAGAAAACAAAGGAAAACTCTAGCTGAAGCCAGACTCCAATCCCAGGAGAAGACACTGAAACGCAAGCATGTCCATAGACGTTAATTAGCAACAAAACTCAGTAAGGATGTGAGAATGAGTGCCCAGCACTGGATTTGAGCTCAGTTGCTCTACTGCCACTGGACTCCACACTCCTGGGTACTGAGCTCCACACTCCTGGGTACTGAGCTGACTCTTTACTGGAAACTTGAGGAAAATCCTACTTACCTAGTGAATCAATCATTTAATATACCAATGTCTATAAAATCCAGTAAAAGCTGAATGTTATACATAGAAATGATGATATTTATCAATCGATTTGCTTGAGCGGGCCCAGTAACGTCTCCATTTTGAGACTTGTTGTTATTGTGTTTAGCATATTGAATACTTCACAGGGAGCTTACCAGGCTTTGCTGTGTGGGCGAGATACTCTTGGTAGCTTGCCGGGCTCTCCGAGAGGGGCAGAGGAATCGAACCCAGCTTGGCCAGGCTGGCTGCTTGCAAGGAAAATGCCCTACCACTGTGCTATAGATATTTATCAATATTCATCAATATTATATTTATCAGATATATATCTATCAATGGGCTGGAGTTATAGCACAGTGGGTAGGGCGTTTGCCTGGGTTTGATTCCTCCAGCCCTCTTGGAGAGTCCAGCAAGCTAACAGAGTATCCTGCCTACATGGCAGAGCCTGGCTAGCTCTCCATGGTGTATTTGATTGGCCAAAAGCAGTAACAACAAGTCTCACAATGGAGACATTACTGGTGCCCACTCAAGCAAATCAATGAACAATGGGGAGAACAGCACTACAGTGCACTGCTACAGTGCTTATTTATCAATAAATAAGTGGAATTTCTTACCAAGGATGAATTCCAACTGTGGTTCATTTGGAGTCTTCTGAATACCTATAAAAGGTTAAAAAAATTTAAAAAATCAAACAAAACTATTTCATTCATAATCAATTATGCATAAATATATGTGATAATATTTGTATAATTATTTTGGCAAAACAAAATCAATTAGTCAGACTTAAAATAAGTTGATTTTTAGGGCAGGGCATAATATTATACCCTGAAATCAAATATTTCATAGTTTCAGACTATTCAGAAACTCAGAAATATTGTTTCTATATGTTGTGCCAAAACATTTTCAAATGTATTCATTTTGAATGCATGTAGACAGAAGTAAATATTTTAAAAGGGGTGATATCACCAATGCATTCTCTTACGTCAATTTGTCCTGCAAGCCACTACAACTTCCTATCAATAGTAAATTATTGATGAAAGGGTTGCTTTGGTTAGGTTGAGAGGACAATATGGTGATGATTATTCTACCGACTTCTTGATTGCCAACATTCAAAGCAGCATGCTATCGTTTCTAATTCTTTTGCTAGTAGTTTATTCACTGTTTTCACCCAATACCCTGGCCGAATGACTGAAGTAAAGAGGGGGAGGAAGTTGATCTGAGAACAAGAATGAGGAAAAGGGAATTTCTAGGTTAGATTGAGGAAACCAAAACTGAGACAAGTGATAACATGGCAGTTGGCACCATGAGCACCAAGCACAGTGCTGGACTTTCTAAGCAAGAGCTGGTAAAGACAGAGACACCATTGGGTCCAGTTCATGGACGGTCACAAAAGCAAAAGGAAATGGAAAAGGAAATCACGACAATAAAGGTAAAAATGTTACAAAAATTCTGTTCTAGAGTGATAGTACACCAGGTAAGGCGCTTGCCTTGACCATGGTTGACCTGGGCTTGATCCCCAGTACCACATGTGTTCACCCGACTCTACCAGGGGCTGTGATGGCTAAGCCACAGAGCCAGGAGTAGGCCCTGATCACTGCTGGGTGTAGTACAAAACAAAGAACAAAAAACTACAAAATCTATTCCTTAATTATTTTTCCTGGTGTTTTCATCAGATATACTTGAAATTTACTAGCACTGGACCACTCTATGGCATAAACAATCATCCTGTTGTTATGTAGTTATGCTCTTTTCAATACCTATTTGTTTTTTCCTGATGACATTTAACAATGCTATGGTTAACAATTTTAGACTTTCCACTTGAGATTAGAGTGACAATCATTAGCTGGGTCTTTGTGAATTTCAAATAGTTTGGGTTTTCTAAAGGTTGCAACAATTAACTCTGCTATAAACTCTGACGACCAACTTTCTGTTTATAAAAATAAAACGCATCTAACACTATTTTCTAAAGATGATTTTAAAATGCAAATTAAATGCGGTTAGGCATATGCTTGCCAGTGTTAAATAACTGCGCAACAATCTTCTGAAAGGGAAAGGAAAGACACAGTTCATAACAAGCAAGGAAGTTCAAGCCCTAGCATTTTAAACATGAAAAAAATAACAGAATCCTTCCAAGGATTTTAATTATTTTATTTAATGATTTTGAAGGATAAAAGCCAATTTCTATGTTAAAAACTAAAATCTTGGCCAAATTTTCCAGCTTGCTCTATTTATGCAACTCAGTGCTCCCTGGGATTGGCAACAACAGTCATTTTGCCCTAATGCTTTCAACTCTAATGTCCTTGATTTTAAGTAGAAAATTTCTGTGTTCCATAAAATAATTCCACTGGAGATTTCATAAATGCTAAAATGGAAGGTATTCATAAAAGTATTTTCTAGAGTCTACTACATGTCATTTAAGAGATTTGATTCTACTCTTTGACATTTAACCATTTAATGGACCATTTTCTGTCTTCCCAAGGCAAACAGTGAAATGCAAATCTTAGGCTCACAACACAGAATACATCCTACACAGGAAACCATTTCCTTAATCTCTTGCCCTTTGTAAGAACCCAGCTTCTGTGAATATGTATGGGGGTTGGGGGCAGGGAGTCTGCTTTAGTTTACCTGACTTGTATTTTCAGGGATTGATAGGAGAAGCACATGCAAACTTACTAGTGAACTGAAACTCGACTGGATCATTTGCTTGGGGGGTGGGAAGAAAGTGCTGGCCTTCTTCTGAAGTGCCTTCCTCTTTGATTTCCATGATTCACCTTCTCAGTTTAGTCTTCCACAGGTTTGTGCCCGAATGCACTGCCGATGATGCCGATGACTCTTGGTGAAACTCAGATGGATCTTCACATTCAAGATCTGATATCCACTCGGAGGTTCTGAATTTAGGAAGCAGAAAATAAAACAGTGAATATGCTGGTTACCTTGGAGTTCTGCATAAAGCTCAGATTAAAAGAAGGAAGGGATGAACCACCACCTTCATATCAAATGTCTTCCTGCTATCGACTATTTTAACTTTCAGGAAAATCTACCCAGGGAATGTAACACAAACCCAGAGTCAAAGGGGAATTCTCTAAGGCAATTATTTCATGATCAGATGAGCTACTTATAAACTCTGGGGAGAGATTCTCACTCTTAACATGCACATAGCTTCAGAGCAGAGCTAACAACACCTTGTGAAGGCATCAGGTTATTTGAAAGGTGAAGCATACTACCATAGAAACTGTTTGCTTCTCTGTCCTTCTACCCTTGTTAGTACATTATTCATAAGCACATAAAGATAATTCGGCAGGATATTCTTCTCCCAAGATGAGTTTCTAGGTTGTAGAGGGAAGTTTCTAGCTTTATAAGGTCTCCCGATGCTCTACCTGAGAACGATTCAATTGTTTCAAGGGTGTATGCTGAAAAGAATACATAATAATTCTAAAAACCTAAAACTCAGGAGATAAAAGTAACTGCAACATGATGAGTAATCGCATGGAAAAAAACAACCTCTCCTTTTTAATACCTGGTTAATACAGACAGCTTCAAATGGCTTCAAAACCATTTTGATACTTACTATAGTATACATGATTAGGAAGAAATTAGAAAGAAAAATCAATGTTGTTCTAAATCATTGCCAGCTGAATTAAAATGTATAAACATCTTTAAATGTGTACCCAATGCTATTAATGAGACAACAGCAATTGAATTTGGTTAGAAATACTGATTTGGTTTCCAGTTTCACAAATCTATAGTCCAACTCTTTGTTGTTTTTAACAAAGTGGCTCCATTTATAATTTAGCTCTAGTTTTTTTAAAGATCAAAAAACGTTTAAATCCAGAAATAATCTTGAATCTTCATGAAATATTACCAAAAAGTTGAAGATAAATAAAATTGCCCTTCTATTGTATATATGCATTTCTATAAATATACTCAGTAATATTCCTGGGGTAAGAAAGATATTTTAGAAATCACTGGTAAAAGACTTTGCATCATCACTTAGGAGAAACCCATTTAATGAAAACTTCTATTTTTAATTAAGATAACGTGTTCAAATTTTCTTTTTTGAATCTTTAATCTTAGCAGTCTTTTTTTGTCAAGTACCAAAAAACATTCTCTCAAAAAAATGTGTTAGCATTAGTGATATAATACCTACTCAGGAATATTCTACACAGGAACTTGAATTTGAGGGCTTTATTAACATCATCATATCTATTAACCAAAAACTCAACTCTGATCTGTCACACTGAAATTGAAAAGGAACCTAAAGGAGGCAATATGGATGAATCCCAGAGTAACAGGATCTTGAGGCAAATAGTTAATAATCATAAGTTCTATGTTTGGGTATTTGTGCACTTATGTAATTCAGAGATGAACATTGAGGACTGAAGTAAGTGCCAACAGCAACTCATTAACACAGTCCCATTTTAAGCACAGTGCCCATTCAAAACCAGTACATTAACTGAAAAAGAAATTTAATTTTAGAGAGAATAGAGCCAACTATATAAAAAAGGATTATGTGACAACTTATGATTATGTTCATTTTCAGTCTATCTTTGCTGTATTAAGGGCATGTTTTATATATAATTGTTACCAAAGTTTATACTTCAGAAGGAATTGTTGTGATTATTCATTAAATTCAAGAAAGTAAGTGCATTTTTAGCAAGTAAATAGAGTATTTACCTGGTTAAATACAATAGTTTTTTTCGACATTTATACCAATTATGTTTTGGTTTATATATTATGCACAGACAAAATATCACAACAATATTAAAAATAGAGAAATAAAACTTACTGTAGGTTATGATAATATTCCAGGACAAGAAAAATATTAAGAAAGTCTAAACAAAAAATAGAAGCAGAAGATAACCTGGCATCTAAATGACCATTAAATAGAATTGCCTGACTATGGTGATGGAATTTAGATATGCTAGTAGAATTAGATAGTGAAACCCAATGAACTAAGGACCATTTAGTAATCTAGAGAATAAAGACAGAATTTTAGCCAGTGATGATTTTAGTTTTAGTCATATTATTCCTGAAGTATCCTAGCAAATTCATTCAGAGAACACATTTAAGTACCTGAATCTAGACATAAAGATATTTATTAGGGCTAGATAAATACATTTTTAGAAATCATTGGTTAATGCTCCAAGGTGAAAGAATGCATGAAGTCACTGACGTCAATTATATTTAGCTAATACACAAGTGAGGAACTCAATCTTTATGTACAAACCATTTTAGGTATCAGAAGAGAAGTTAATTGGTAAAAGCTTCATCAGGGACAGTAAGAACAGAGAAGAATCTGTGAATGGGACCAGAGATAGAGTACAATATGAAAGGAGCTTGCCTTGCACACAGCTTGACCAGGCTTCTATCCCCAGCACCATATAGGGTTCTCCAACCAAATATGGTACTCAGAACAAAAATATAATCACCATGGTAGCAGCACCTTTCCTCCACCTAACTGCTGCTTCTCCAGAAAATCAGATCATTGAGTTACATCATTGTTGTTGTTGGTTGGGGAGGGTGATGCGAGGGTTACACCAGGCAGAGCTCAGGGACCGACTATGATTCTATGTTCACGTATCATTCATGGTGGTGCTTGAGGGGGGCCACATCTGGTGCTGGGAATTTGAACCTGACTTGGCCACATAAAAGGCAAGTGCCTCTATATTATCTCCCCAGCCTCCTATCTCTGAAGGATGGGATACCACAGCATAGTGAAATGCTGAAGAGCTATACCTAAAAAACCAAAAGAGGTTGAAGCTTCAGGGGAAAGGGAAATGAGTGACAGGCAAGGAACAGTCTGGAGTACACAAATTCCTAGAAAGGGAGGAGGTATGTATGGAAAACAAGGTATAAAATAAAGAGTCAGCGACAGAAATGAAAATGTTCTCCCCAATGGCTTAATTTTCCCCCGCTTTGAAGAAAAAAAGGTGTATTTGTGGGCTATGGATTATGAATAGGGAAATATTTCTCAACCTGACTTCAAAAGCATAGTTCATGTCAGGAAAAAATTAACAAATTTGACCACACTAAAATAAAATATTCTGTGGGCAAAAGATATCATTAAAAAGTGAAGTAACAAATTCCATGCTGAAAAATATACTGGAAGCACAGACGTTCCTGACTCCTGTTTAGTTTGAACAAAGATGTAACGAGTATTACTCCAAGTATAACCTCAAGAAAAAAAAGCTGAATAATATATAAAATAATAAGTTTTCCTCGACTAATCAGAGAGCTGAGGTCCCAAAGCAATCAACCAGCCTGAAATCTAGAGACAGACAGATGCCTCCAAGGAACAGAGCTTTCATCTGTGGGCGGATGAAGTGTCAAGCCCCAAACAATCTGCTTCAGAAGAATTCAGCTGAAAATTTCATGACTTACTAAAGTTCAAGGGTGGCACAGTATGAGTATTGAGCTACTAAGAGACACAAATTCCAGGGAAGTCCGTCACCCTAACAGACCTTTTTTTTTTTTTAATGGACCTCGCCTATGAGAAAGACTGAGGCAGCTGGACTAAGGGAGGAGACTCCATCCAAGGGGCAACCATCACTGCAGGAAAAGCATGTCGCAGTGTGGACTCTTCTCCCTATAGAACAAAAACAGCAGCCACTGTTACCATCATTGCAGTTAGAGGCTTACAAACGCAAGAGTAGCAGAAGAGTTTTCTGCCACCAGACAAATATTCTCTGAACTTGTATTGCCAAGAGATGGTCAAGTCCCTAAGAAGGCCCCATCCCCAGGACTAAGAACAAGACCCTTTGCTTAAGGCTCAGAATAAATAAGACCACAGAGATTAACTCTGTACTAACCAAGGGCAAGCAAACATTAAGAAAGAACTGACAGGAGTTATCAACAAGGAGGCAAAAAGGCATTCTCTGATGACCCCCCCCCCCAAAAAAAACCATAGAGGACAGAGCTGAAGGCAAAGAGCCCCCTCTCTTTGAACATGCTAACACTAAAATAATTTGAAACTAGTACACTGTGGGTAACTATAGCAACAACAAAACCAAAATATAACTCAGTTACTGATGAAGCTGACTCAAATCCCCCAACAATAAATTAAAGGCTACATAGGAAAAACAGCCTGTACTCCTGAGCAGCATCAGCGCTGGTGGCCCCTGAGCACTGTCTGGGAGAAACGGGTGATCCTTGGCACTGAGAGGCAGAACAGCAATGCCCCCTCCGGCCCACATTGAACTACAGGCCAGTTTGGCTGAGAATTCCCAGAAGGAAGGTCAGACTCCTGAGCACCATTTGGACACTCACCACCCCACAACACAAAGCAAGAGCAAAAAGGCAATCAAGAAAAGCCTACAAGGTTTACACTGGCAAAAGAATTAGAAAAGGACTTTAATGGAAAAGATTTGTCTTGTATGAGCCGAGAGACTGGCAGGGAATGTCAGCAAGGAGATATAAACTACCAGGAAGAGCCAAATGGAAACACTAGGAATGGAAACCACAATGACAGCGATGAAGAATGTTTCTGACAGACTCATCAGTAGATGTGATCCCATCAAAGAAATAATCCTTGAACTTGAAGATAGGTCAACAGACATTGCCTAAACGGAAACTCACTCTCTCTCTCTCTCTCTCTCTCTCTCTCTCTCTCTCTCTCTCTCTCTCCCTCTCTCTCTCACACACACATACACAACACACACAAAATGGAAATGTTTAATTGTGCCTTCAAAATCGATTAGATGATACCAAACAAAACATATGTGAACCTCAGAAAAGGAGAGACTAAGTATTTAAAGATCTACTAACTAAAGAAAAAAATTTAAAAAATTAAAATAATAAGTTAATATCTCTCTCATACACACACATCCACACACACACACACTACCAATAACCAATAAAATATGACAATTTTTTAAAAAACCTT